TAGTTCTCTCCTTTTTGTCAAATATCCACTTAGGCCTATTCAATTACTTTAGAATTTCAGTTGACAAGCCAAGCTATCTTCCTTATTTCTAGTTCCCCTCCCCCCCAGTAGCACAGCGGTATGTCTGCGGACTTACAACGCTAGAATCCGGGTTTCGATACCCGTGGTGGGCAGAGAACAGACAGCCCATTGTGTAGCTTTGTGTTTAATTACAAACAAACAATCCTTATTTCTATCGCACTTGTATTCTGTGTGAGTCACTTACAATTGTGACGCAAGTTACTGTAATCGTTTGGTTTTCTTTCTTTTGAAGATTCTCTGTTCCTTTTGTCAAAGTGCACTCAGGCTGATCCAATTACTTTAAAACGACGCTTTGACGGAATAAAATTATGACAGTCTCATAGATTAATTTACTCAAGTGCCGCGGTTATTGAGGGTTCCCCTATTGTTGTTCTATGCGAAACGTGTAAGATTTGTGAGGAAATCTGAATGAACAGCAATAAACATATTCAAAAATAGATTACAAGAAAATTCTATATATTTTTGACTAGATGAACAGGTATTTTACTTAAAAGATATATTACATACTTACTGATCTCATAAATTAATTGATAATTATAATCTAACTAGCACATAATGGTATCTGATTTCCTAAAGGGGACCGAAGGCCGCCTGGAGGGGTCAGCTGTTTTAACCATTCGCACCACTGTACAATAGTGTGTTGTTTGTCAAATAGTCAGTAGACATTTAAATGACGTCACGCATAAGGGACGCATAACGTCGCAATCTATACTGTCGTGACGTCAGTAAAACATGCGAATGCGATGAATCACGAGAAGAATTATGCACTCTGTAGGCTACAACACATCTTGACATATGAACATAAAAGTATGAAATAAAAATATTCGTTACTCTTAATTTTGGTTTTATTTACTCTTTAAACAGAAACTCTCGAGGACCCTGCACAAGTACATCTAGTATTAAAATCACAACCAAAGCATCTTATTCTAAAAGTAACAAAATATTGAAAAGTTCTCTAACATTAAGGAACCAAGGTCATTTTGAACTACCCTGCAAGTGTATCAAATTAATTCATTTGTCTCATGTTTTCTAAGATACGTCCGTCAGTGGATGAAAGAAGTTCAAGGGGTTAAAACTGTAAAATCTGGGACTATATTCCAGTGGGCAGAGTGCAATATTCCATGATATAGCTTTGCACTAAGAAAATAACAACAGCACTCCTAAAGCCCATAACAAGATATCTCAATTAAGTATCCAGTGCTTTTCCAAACACTTTATCACTGTTTAACTGAAAGCTACCATGTACAGTTATCACATCCAATACCTGTAAACTCGTCTTTTCATTTCTCCCTCACCCATAACCGATGGAATTTCTGAAAGTAGCAGACTTATGACATTTGATAGTTCTGAACATTATTGACTAAACTATCCTAAAAGTTAACATTCAAATCTGAGTTATAATAATTGATTATTATGTTTTTTTGCTGCATATATTGATATGCTGTTCAAAAAGGATTTGTTTGTTTGTTTTGAATTTCGTGCAAAACTACATGAGAGCTATCTGCGCTAGCCGTCCCTAATTTAGCAGTGTAAGACTAGAGGGAAGGCAGCTAGTCATCACCACCCACCGCCAACTCTTGGGCTACTCTTTTACCAACAAATAATGAGATTGACGGTCACATTATAACGCCCCCCCCCCCGACTGAAAGGGCGAGCCTGTTATGTGTGAGGGGGATTCGAACCCGCGCCCCGCAGATTGCGAGTCGAGCGCCCTAACCACCTGGCCGTTCAAAAAAGAAAAGAAAAGAGAAAACTAATTAACTAAACATTTAAAGGTTGTTGTAATTTTTTTTGATAAAACGAATTTTCGTTTCAGGACAACATAGAAACCACGTCTAAATACAAAAATAATACAAAAAACGGCAACATAGGTGTAGCATGTTATTGTTTTCATCAATTATTAGTTGCCTGTCTCTATTCTTTTAAAAATTTACCTTAAATCAAAATATTTTTTAAGTTATTGTTCTCATTATTATTAATTTTCTTTCATCTTTAAGGAGCATTCTCAATGAAAAAATAACATTTATTACAATACTTTAATTGAAAGTGATTTTCACTGTTTGCAAAACAAACAAACAAATCATTTTAGATATTCACACAAAGCTTTTCCTAATTTTACACGATAAACTAATTTATTTATTTTAGAACAAAGTAACCTTGATTTATATGCTATGTCCACTACGAAGAATCGAACCTAGGATTTTAGCGTTATAAGTCCGTTAACTTACCACTGTCTCAGCAGAGTACCTAATAGTGTATAGGAAAGGCAGCTATTCGACATTACCCAACTCTAGTTCTTTGGCTACCATTGACTAATCGAATTGAGTGATTTGACCGTAACCGATATGATGCATCCAACACGACCCCAAAATGCTTTTTTCTTTTTGTCTGTTTGTTTGTGGTAACGGGACGTTAACCATTGAGCCACACTCAGACGCAACGAAATTAATATTTAGTAGGTTAACTGTTTATATTTTAATAAGATTTTTTTATGGAATAGGACAAAAAGATATTAACTCAAATTATATTAAGTTTGTACCTTTATTAAAATAACTTTTTTTCACCGTGTATATTATAGTTGTAGAAGTGTACATTATAGAACGTGAATAGTAAATAGTTTTTTTCTAACGTATACTTTGAAAATAAGGGGTTACGGTAACTGCTTTGTTCATCGTTAACACGCAGTTTTTACCAAAGAGTTTGCGGTTGTCGCAACAAACGATGGCACAACAGTGTAAAGCGTTCCTGTTCCTGGTAATTATTTTGATTTGAACTTAATTATTTCAGAAGAAATAATCAATAATCATGGGTACTCGAAGATTAAGCAATCCTCCTTCACCCCACACGTGGATTAGAGGTATGGGCTTCAACTGAAGTATAAACAAATAATGATAGGTTGACTGGAATGAAGTTTTGATATAAACAAACTATGTAAATATCATAAACATAGACGGCCGATATCGGACAGATGGTCCATCAGGGCGGCGGGGATCTATAAATCCTATTCCAAGAATTTGATGGGGTGGAGGAAACAGGAGTACCCCGAGAAAACCCACTTTCCCTGGTAACGACCAATCCGTTACCAGTGCCAGGTTAGCGAGAAGAAATAAAGTGTAAAGCCTTTAGTCCACATTTTTATTTTTATGGATGCAAGTTTTAAAGACAACGGATTTTGGACCGAGAAAACCCACTTTCACTGGTAACGACCAATCCGTTACCAGTGCCCGGCTAGCGAGAAGAAATAAAGTGTAAAGCCTTTAGTCCACATTTTTATTTTTATGGATACAAATTTTAAAGATAACGGGTTTTGGATATCGAATAAGATTTATTCATTTTTCCCAGATTAACATTTGCATAAAATTATGTTTCACTGCTTGTTTGTATAGATAACCAACAAATATATTTAAAAAAAAATTGGAAAGAAATCTACTCTGTATTAAACGAAATAAAAAGCAGATTCTTTTGTTAAATTTTAGACATTTTCATTCAAAACTTAGTCTCAGATATAAAGAAATATGTTTGTTTCTGAAATACGTGCAGAGTTACACAAAGGCTATCTGAGCGAGCCGTTTTTAATATTGAAATTATATACTAGAGGGGAAGCAGCTAATTAACAACACCCAGCACCATTTTTTGAAATACTCTGATCTGATGGTGGGATCGCATCTTCATTCTATCGCTCTTATAATGCGCACTCAATCTCAAAGTACGGAGCGCATTTTCTGGAAGCAGGCCTCGAACCGTGGACTCTCAGATTCACAGTTTGGCACGTTAATCACTATATGTATAGGTTCCGCCCAAATAAGAACTGGATAAAAAAGAAAAGAAATGTTATAGCAAAATAAACGTTTCTATTATTACAACAATTGAAGGTTAGAAAAGAAATTATTAATAATATAATTTTCACATTGAATTTATAATCGGACAACATACAACTCAATTCGTACAAATATACATATGCTGCTAAACTATGTAGCACTAAGAAAACCATATACATTTAACAAGATTTTTTAATATTGACTGTTCTAAGAACGCTAAGTCAAATTTTCACATTGTATTACATTTCAAACAAAGTAGTTTTAATATTTAATATTCCATATTATTTTAATTTTTTTTTCAGTTTCGTAAAAAATTTCATATCATAATAAATCAATCATAAAAAACGAAAATATTTTCATATGATTATTACACTCGCGGTTTGAAGTGACTTGCTGTAACTGGTTACCGCGAGTTCTTAATCCCCGATTGCATCCAGCTTGAGATATATTTATGTAATTCATGCCTGTTTTTATCTTCTCAGTGACTTGCACTTATCTCTTTCTAAACCAAAAACGAATAGCTATATGAGATTTTGTAACGATTTATTTCGTAGTGGGTGTGTCTGCTTTGACAGCGGAAACCAGCTGGTTGCAGTTTGAGAGCTATTTAAGAACTATAAGATGTGAGTTTTTAAAGAATTTATTCATTGTCGGTACTTGCAAGAATATGTCTGAGGGAATCACTCGTAGTAATTTACCAAGATTTCGCGGTCAGACTGAAAACAGTGCGTTCGAAAATCCGTTAACTTTAGGGAGAACAGCTGATGAAGTAGACAACGTCGAAATTTCTTCGCAGTCAACGTCTTACGTACCAGCTCCACTGGGAATACGTCGGCGAAGCCGAGAGAATGATTCACAACCATCTTCGAAATCTAGTGGTATCTTTTTACCTCCAGAAACTCTACCTATATACGAAGAAAGCGTCTCAGGTTGGGGTCAGTACAATACTCATGAAGCTATCCCTCGACTGGAACATTACATAATTGAAGACGAAAAAGGAGTGAGCCGGCCGACAGTTGAAGAGTTGAGAAACCCACCAAGCGATAATCAAGTGAGACAGACCTGAAAAAGTTTATAGTTTTATATATAATATCGTTCCAAGTGCTTATAAAATACAGAAATTTTTCAACATAAATATCCGCATAGTTATTAGTAGTTAATTATTTGCACAATTTACTATATTTGTCATATTTATAGTTTATCGTATTTAAGTGTACGCACAACTCTTTTAGATTTACGCTTGTTCATATATAAGAAACAGTTCTGGGAAATTGGTTCTTTTTTTGGTTTATGATTTTATATCTGACGAATTTTGAAAATTCCATCTATATAAGTCAAACGAAATTATAGCTAAGAAAATGTATTAAAGGTAATTTATAGAAAATTAATATTTCCTGTTTTGCCGTATATTTATTTTCTCACAAATATTTATTGAATCGTCGAAGAATACTAATTATTAGCTAGCAGTAGGAGACGTAGGCAGAAATCAACATAGAATTTGTTTTGAATTTTGCGCAAAGCTGTACGAGAGCTATCTGTGTTAGCCGTCTCTAATTTAACAGTAATAAACTAGAGGGAAGGCAGCTAGTCAACACCACCCACCGTCAACTCTTGGACTACACTTTTACCAATGAATAATGGGATTGACTGTCACATGATAACACATGTTTGGTGGGATGGGATTCGAACCCACCACCCACAGATTGCTATTCGAGCCCCCAAACCACCAGGCTTGTATAAAGGAGGAAAAGAAGGTGATTGACGATACCCAGTTTGCCCCTGACGAATAAAGGTTCACCTTTCGAAAGCGCTCGGTTATAGGGTTTTTATTATTTTCTATCAAGACTTCTTGAACCTACGTGTTTTTCTAACATCATGAGTGTCGCTACATACTGGTGTGGGAGTGGGAATCCGGGGAAATGCTCTCTCGGAAATGTTTTTGAATTCTAACTAAAAATGGCGTATTTTTGTAGTACCTTTGGCTGTTTTTACACCATTTAAACATGTCTGATCCATAGATGGGTACGATTTATGGGATGAGATCGCACCCATCGTCCCCCTCACCCTTCTGCTTAAGTGAATGTATGCATGTATATGTATTTGATATTGTAAATCAAAAGTACATTTGGAAACTTGCCTTGAAGCATCATCTTCCTGGTAAGGTGCTTCAGTGTTGAGTCAGTTCAACTTTTTTCTCTTTGTTTGTACTATTTATAATATTGTATGCTAACAAAGGCTTATTAATACGCTGAGACTTAAAATTCACAATTATAGAAAAGCCACTCGAAGAACGAATATTTCAAAACTCTCTTAAATAACACATTTTCGCAGCTCAGAATAATCAGAAAACGTATTTTTATGAATTCTATGGAAGCAGTTGTAAATCTATGTGAAAACAATATTTCCAGTTAAATACTATATCTCTGTTACTAACAGTGAAATACACAAACCAGTTTTCAATATTTGCGACTGGTCATGTGAATGTGTTTCTCGTTAATCACAAGTATTTTTGTTTGTTTATTTCCTGTTAGTACAAAGCAACACAATAAGCTATCTATTCTGTGGAATATAAGGAAAACCCAGTTCCAGTTATAATGTAGCATTATGGCTTGCAAATATTCTTAATCAAAGTTTTTACTCCTGGATAACCACGTCTGTTATCAATATACAGTCTTAGCCAAATTCTTTGCATATTTTGTAACAAATAAGGTCATTATTATTAAGATGGAATACACTTATCACTGTCAAACTGAGAAAAGCATGTTATATTAAACATCTACAGACGTAATTTGTATAATGAGACATGTTATATGGACATCATGAACGATTTATTGGAACAGCAAACAATTTTATCAGATACCTGTAGAGAAATGTGTAGGTCAGCATTTCACCTATTGCAACAAAACCTCGTCGAAACATATATAATGACAAAATGTAACATCAAATTATTATATATAGCATCTGCAACCTTATATCAGCTCATATTAAACATTCAATACTTGGTTTGTCCTCCTCGTGCTCTAATAACCTCCGCAAGGCGACATGGCATGCTGTCAATGAAGTTATTGATGTAATCCACCATGATTTCATCCTAACTTGTCACTAGAAGGCACTGAAACTAAGCTAAAATAACTGATTTAGTGTCGTGGTTAACAATTTTCTGACTCAGTTCTGCCCAACAGTTCTTAATGGGATTACAATTGGAGACTTTGCTGGCTATGGCAATCTTGTAAAGTCTTCCTGGTCGAGATAATCCTATACAATACGTGCACTGTGGGCAGTGGCATTGCCATTCTGGAACACAAAGTTATTGTCAAACCTTGCCCTAGCACATAGCAGAAATATCGTGTCCATGTGATGCCTGTAGGAGGCGCCATTGACGTTTTCCTGGAGGATATGAAGAGCAGCTTTTCACCACGATGAATAGCTACCCAAACATTTACTGCACCACCTCCTGTGTGTTCCCTGTGTGAAAGACTGAATTTTCTCATCTGTTCTACAGGCAAACGACGAACACGAATCTTACCACCAGCTTTAACAAGTCTGAAACAGGACTTATCTAAAAATATGACATGTCGTCAGTGTCCTAACTGTAAGTTGTCATGCTGTTTTGCCCAAGTAACACGCCGACGACAGTGAATTATGGTTAATATGGATTTGCAGTTAGCCCTTCTTGCAAAATAACCTTGTTTGGTCAGTCTTCTATTCACTGTTATTCTGGATATCCTGGAATTAATGTGTTCATGCCATTCTTGTCGTAAGGTGTTACAAAACGTCTTTCGACGTTGGCGTGTTAACTTCATCAAAACATGGTCATCCCGGGCAATAGTTTTCGGAGTCTACCAGTAGACGTTCCTGGAACGACGTTTTCTTAAGTCCGATGACGATTCATTGGGGGTACTCTACTATTCTGTCAATGACCGTTTACTTCATACCATTTCTGTACAGTCGAACAATTTGACGCCCTATAACTTCTACACGGCATGACTCTATACCGGATACAGAGAAATTGTCTGATCAAAGCGTTAATCTATTTCGAAAAAGGATTATATCAAACGCACACCCCCTTTTATACAAAACAGATGTGTATGTTTGTTTTAACAGCTTATACAGACCATAATAACAACTCGTACATTTTTGTCTGATCACACGCTACCTTTGTTAGTACTCGGACATTTACTCAATAACTCTTTCATGCATGTAAACAATAACATCAATATAGAACTGTATGCAAACATTTTGGCTAATACTTTATTTAAATAACGTAAGACTGAAGCTGTCAATTCAAACATTATCGGAATTTCTAATAATAGTTTAGTTATTTTTCCAATTCAGTGTCAAGCTTTAGATGCATTGTAATAACCATTTACGCTTTTAAACTTTAACAGCACATTAATTAATATCACGTGCTCTAAAATCATTCACGTTCATTGCAGTTCGTGTTGCGGAGATACAACGAAGAAGATGGTGAAGAAGATGCGAGTATGTCTTACAAGTTTGGTTGGATTAGAGGGGTGTTCGTAAGTATTCACATACTAGATGTAACCTTAAATATTTGCTAATAACCAACGTATTACATACAGCAATTTTCAAATATGCATCTTGGGAATGTTATTGTTTTAAGGTAACCTCTTCTATTATAATGGAGTTATTTAAAGAAGTAATTGTTTGCGCGCTATATTCTTAGGCGGGGTAAAAGACAAAATACGAAAATAATGTTTTCTAAAACTAAGCTAGTGATGTTAAGAGATGGAAAAACTCGGCATAGCTTTCATAATAGGCCTAATAGGCTGGTCTGAACTGTTACTTAACAAATCCTGTTGCATCATACAATTCACATAAATGTTACTGATCATTTAATGTGTTACTTGATTAGTATTACTAGGCAGAAAAGTTCTAAGAGAAGGTGGCGGATTTCATTCGTGTGAATAATGTTTCCAGCACATTTCACCAACAAAGATGTCAGGAATTGAATATAAACCAGCACCCTTATATGAAATAACAAAAACGATATTATTTGGATCACTCTATCATATTATTAGAATATCTAGTTAGTGGCTATAAATGCAGAAATGTAGGGTACTGATATCGCCAAAATAAAAACGTCAATTATTACTTTTTTTATTTTGCATTATTTATCGCGATACGTAATACGTGATGTTTATGGGTGAAATATTTTAAATGTGAATCTATAAAAAGAAACACGTGTTGAATGTTTACGTATAGAACATTTTGAAATATATCATTAGTACAAATCTATCGTACGTTTAAATAAGCTTTTTTGTAGTTAAGCACAAAGGTACACAAAGGGCTATCTGTGCTCTGCTCATCACGGGTATCGAAACCCGGTTTCTAGCGTTGTAAGTCCGCAGACATACCGCTGTACCACTGGGGGGCTTTAAAGAAACAACTGAAAATATAAGTAAAACTTTCTCCAAAGTTAAAAGCAAACAATATTATGTACGCTCCTTGGATTAGGATTAGGAGGAGGAGTGTCCCATCTCTAAGGACTTGTCCCGGAACCCAAAATTATTAGCTGCAGCAAGCCCACAAGTTTTTGCAAACAGTAACTTGTGAAGAAACTTTCAACATACTATTACTTCCATTTTATATTTTTTTGCTAATTTTTTTAGTAAACATTAAATTGAACTCAAGATAAATTTTCTATAAGCAAAAGTCAGTGATGTTGAGTCAGAATTCCATTTCTATTTTTCCAAGTCGGCCTAAACAGAAGAAGAAAATATTTAAATTATTTTTTCTCACTGATACCCAAAATACGCTAACTACTTTAATCGTGGTAATTGTAAACCGTAAATATTTTCTTATAAAATAATTATGTAAACTACAGAAACGATCTTTGGACAGTAACTGCCTCTCCAATTTTCAGTTTTCAAATTATCAATTTATCAAAATCTTGGTATATTATATTTTATAAATACGATATGTTATGAATACCTGTTAAAGAGAATACAGTGAATCAAATATATGTTTTTATTTTAGTCAATTATAACTAAGATCATATTTTTCTGTACTCTTTTGAATAAGGTATATTTTTAATTTGTATCACATTTTCTGTAGATCAGATGTTTGCTAAACATTTGGGGCGTTATGTTATTTTTGAGAATGGGATGGATGACTGCACAGGCAGGAATTGGTAAGCGAATTTACAGTTTTTTATTATGTCAGATCAAAAACTGTGCCTAGCATGTTTCATAAATGTACATAATTGTAGAAAATAATGTAGCTTGATATACTGGAATTTGGAGTCACAAGTAAAATTCTTCACTTAATTTTTGTTCTAATGACAAATCAGAAGAAGATTTGGCTAACTTTAGTAGTAAACTGAAGAAATAAAAATGCAGACATAATTTCATACTGAAGAGATCACTATCAGGAAAAAATAAAGATTATGTTGTACTGGTTAAGTGATGTAAAGAAGTACCCATGATTGTAACTCATTCACTAACAGGAGCACCCCAGTGGCACAGCGGTATGTCTGCGGACTTACAACGCTAGAATCCGA